TGGAGTAAAGTACAATGCAGATTTACATTTTTCCCACTTGCGACGAGTGCAGCTATCGAATGCAGCTATCTATTTTTTTTTTGCATGCTAGTTAAGATTCGTGTCAGTCAGCTGTTGGCTCTCAGGCTGGCCAATAGAATCTTCCTGCCTATTTGTGGCAGCCAACTATAGGCTCTCACTCTGGACAGTAGAAAATGGCCGCAAACTACATGAAAACTGCCGTAGAAGCATGAAAAAATCGATTATTTCCACTATCGATGGGAGTTGGGAAATGCAACGTAGGTCTATGCCTTCCCGCTAACTTGGGGCATGTGCATGTAAATTGTGGTGCAAATCCGTCGAAAATTGCGGCCATGCATTCTTTACGCACACACACACACACACACACACACACACACACACACACACACACACACACACATCCTGCCTTTTATAGATAGAGATAGAAACTTCCATGTAAGGGCGAATGGTTGATTTATAGATATGAAGGATGGATACAGGCGAGAAAATCTTTCTGGTGCGACACAGAGCACCAACTTTCCTTGCGGTAGATGAAGCTATTGATTCAATGTAATTGTTCCATCGCTGGTCAGGACACAGTGTGAGACAAAGCAGTCGCAAAGATCTGCTCTCGTGGAGTTGAGCATCAGACATTCTAATGGGCGGCAGGAAGGGTTCTCTGTGGTGAGTAATTGCTGTGACCTTGTTATGGGCAAGAAATAAAGACACAAAAAGAGGAATTGACTTAAACAAATATATTAACAGAAACATTTATACAAAAGATATACAAGCGACAAGGATGTTCGGTCCGACTGTCAGAGCTGACCGCTGGAAACTACACTCTCTAAAAGGCAGTACCTGCTCTTATTTATATCTGGGAGAGACAATGCGTGCATGGGTAAATTACCATAACAGCCCCTCCTAAGTATTAACTCCGCAGGAGCCTCAATATGGTTTTATCTTTGTGTCAACGACGATTAAATCTGTCATTTTACTTGCTCCGGGGCCGCTTGAGGTATTGGCATATGAAAAGTATCGTAAATGACATCCATTTCTTTTTCTTCAGGAGGACTACTGTCAGCATTGTCCGACAGGAGTTTCCTGATTTGGTTTAAATGTCTCTTGTGAGTAAACTGTGGACTTTTAATTATGTAAATCATATTTCCTACACTTTTTTTCAATTGTACCCATTTCCCAGAAAGATTTATTATCCCGAAACATCCGGAAAAAATCTCTCCGGGTTGGTAGTGTTTTTTGGTAGAGTGTTTGTTCGTCCGGTTTTTTTTTTTTTTGTTTGGGGAGTAGCTTGTCGAACATAGACCTGATTTTACGCGTAGTTCATTGTGATGTTCTATATTTTGGCTGTTTATTAATATGTCGTCCAAATACACAACCGCGAAGTCAAGACCGCTCAGCATAGTGTCCATTAATTGTTGGAAGATTGCTGGCGCGATCTTCCTCCCGAAAGGTAGACGTTGGAACTTGTACAAACCATGATGGGTGTTGATACAGAGCAACTTAGAACATTCTTCCTCTGGAGATATGCGTCATTGAGATCGATTGTTTTAAAAAATATTTCCCCCATTTAGTTTCGCGAAAATTTCTTCCGGGCTTGGTAAAGGACGGTGATAGTTTTGAGTACAGCATTAAGCCCCGTCGAGAAATCGGCGCAATCCGGCGGAAACCCGAATCTCCTTTGACTTCTTTTTCACATAGACGGTCGGTGAAAACTATTGACTGTACTCAATTTTCGACAAGACCCCAGTTCTTTCTAGTCTGTCGAGTCCTTCATTTATTCGTGGTAAAGAGGCGAAAGGTACATTTCTTTTTTTCTTAAACACTGGCTGGATGTCATCTTTTAACTGGAATTTTACCGTCATCTGACCAAGCCCCCCCCCCCTAGAAAAAAAAACAAAAAAACTTCCGTAATAGTTTCTTTCAAATCTTTAATTAATTCTTTTGCCTCGGTGGCCTGGTTTTCGAGTTTTCAGCAAAATGAATTAATTCGCATGTTCCATAACTTAAATTTCTTCATCCAGCCGGTGTCAAATAAATATTCTGTATTCTTTAATACGTACGTTTTTAGTTTTAATGTCCTTCCATGAAAAGTTACATTTGTGATAGTGATTTTCATAGCGTAGCTTGGATGTGGCACAAGGCCGAAAGTAAGGGGTACCCAATGAGGATCGAACTCACTACTCATTCGTAATAGTTCCAGCGAAATAAGCTTGCTAACCATTACACCACCTCGAGGTGCCCAAAGTTACATTTGTGATAAGTTCTCCCTCAAACTTGATTTTCTCCCCTGTCACGGACCTGGTTATTTTATTAGACCTTAGCATGGTTGGTTTTCTTAACTTTTTCCAAGTCTGTAAATTTATGATGGTCAAATCTGACCCAGAATCCACCTGTAATTTGATATTTTTATTTAGGATTTGTACTTGTTCATCCGATATTTTTGTTTTTACGCAGCTTTTTTTCCTCGCTCGACAGTGTGAGTTCTTGTGCCCGATACGGCTACAAGTCAGGCACTCCTTATTCCGGTAAGGGTAATCCTTATACCAATGTAGTAACCCACAACCGAACACCGGTTAGGAGGCAAGTTGTCTTCTTTCTGTTTGGACTGGTTTAATTTAGAGGGAGAATTAGATTGTTTTTTTTTTCTTCTTTTAGCTTAACTTTCTTATGCGTGCTTTGCCAGATTCCTCGATGTTTTTTAGAATATTGGCGGACGCATACGAATCTCTGACAGTCTTCCGCTATTTGTTAGAGTAAGGTTTGGTTTGTTTTCCAATTTGTTCAGAACATTACGTCTAATTTCAGCGTCTTTAGATGAAACAAGTCCCTGAACAAATATCGAACACTTGAAATTATTCGAACAATTCTGACAGTTTGAAATGCTTGTTCATGACCGACGCGAATGTAGTGTAATCTTCACTATCTTTTCTGATTAAATTTTTACACTTCCATCTCTTATGATAAAGTGAAGTTTTAGGACTAAAAAGTTCTGTAAGAAATTGAACCGCTTCGGTAAATGTCAGTTCGCTTGTTTTACGGAGTAAAATATAGTTCACAAATTTGGTATGCTCCATGGTGACTAGTTTTCAAAGTAGTAGGTGAACATTCTTAGAGTCTGCCCAATTCGCACAAACTGCAGCGTATAAATCCTCGTACCTACTAAAATAGGAAGCGAAAGTTATATCCTCGTCCGGAGAATATACAAAATTGTCTGCTGCGCCCCATATGGTATTTTGTAAGAACGCATTTTTGTATTCGCTAATTTGCTACCTGTTTGTCAGTTCAAGCAAATTTCTTTGTTTTTGTTGAGTTTGAAGTAGAATTTCTTCAAGTTTTTATTGACTGATTTACGTTGTTATTTAATGCGATACTTTTTTCTTCAATTCGCTTTTGAAGTTCAAGACTTTCCGTTTCAGTTTTTTTTTTAATTTCAAGCCGTTTTTTTGCATATCCAACTGGAGTTGTGCCATTCTTTTTTGCTGTTCCAGTTGTTTTTCTTGCCATTTTAGTGTCCGTTGATTTTGTTTTTCATATTGTAACCTAAGATTATCGACCATGGCGGATTTGAACTCGTCCATATTTGACTGAGTTTTTTTTAGGATTAAACCGAAAAAGAATTTAATTAAGGATAGAAAAAAAAACGAAATTTTAATTTCTTACTCACACAGGAAGTCACAAGTGTTTTTTTTTCTCTGATAGACATGGATTCTCAGAAAGTTCAGTGTAAGTTAGTTACACTTTTTTTTTCGTTGTGTTTCCTTCTCTGGGTTGCCAAGTACTGTTGAGTAGAACCAATATTGAAAATTTTCACGTAGTTCTTTTGGGTTCCTTAAGGGTACTTAAGGTTCCGCGCCGCCAAGTTGTTGTGGCCTTGTTAGGCGCCAGAAATAAAAACACAAAGAGAATAATTGAGATAAACAAATATATTAACGGAAACAATTATACAAAACATACACAAACGAGCAAAGAATGTCAAAGCTGAGTGCTGGAAACTACACTCACTGAAAGGCAGTACCTGCTCCTATTTATAGCTGGATGAGTCCATGCGTGCATGGATAAATTACCAAAACAGTAATAGAGAACAGTTTTGTTTTTGAGGCATTTACAACACGTTGCCTAGTGTCTCTTACAAACTAAAAAAAATAAACAAGAACTACGCTTTCTTAAAACTGTTATAGGTCAACATAATAAAATAAGTGTCTCGGCTTTCCGAGCTAACCGCGTAAAGACGGAAAAAATAAAACCGAAGAATAAAAACTCATGGAATATTGTGTTGAAATGTAATGAAGACAACTACAAAGTTTAGTATAAGAGTTTAGTATAATTCGTGCTTATGATTCATCTCAGAAGTTTACACAAAATGTATGAATGGTCACATGAGAATGCCAATAATTTAATCGAACGATTTCCAGTCGAAATATATCCGGAAGTAAGGTGGGTTTACTTATAGAGTGCGTGTGGAATCTCCAAAGAATATTTGAATGACTAAACAGGGCCCAAGAATCTCGTAAATTTAATAGTATTTTTTAATAACTTTCACTCCAAAGGATAGATATTTGATGGAAATTCTTGTATGAGTGTTAGCGCGTGACCATCCAAGAAAGATGCGATTTAAGAAATAATGGAAAACAATAATGGACGTTCTGGATATCGTAAATATTATGGTTGAAATATCATTCGCATTTAACATGAGAAAAAAATAATGTTAGACATATGGTGAAGTAAAGGTATTCTTTTTTCTAAAACAAATGAATATAGAAAGCAAAAAATAATAACAGATAACAAATAGGTGAATAGAATCAATTAATGAAAATGAACAGTTTGAAGAAAGAAAGAAAAAAAGAAAGAATGAAACAATGGAAACGAGAAAAAAGACCGAGAGAAAACAGAAAATGAAAATGAATAAGAGAGAAGGAAAAATTGAAAGACATAACAAATCACAAAATGAATGAGAAACATTTAAAATTTTATAATTCTCTCGTTCATTTTGTATTTCGAATGAACGAACGAATGAGATAAAGAAAGAAAGAAAGCAAACAGAAAATAAAGGTGATTGAAATTAAGTAATAAAAATAGATTAAAGAGAGAAAAAGATAGAAAGAACGAAAGACAAAATGAACGGCTAAATGAAATAAAAATGAAGAAACGAAGCAAAAAGAGAATGAAAATGAATGAAATTAAGTATTAGAAATTAAGAGATGGAAGTAAGGGACAAAAAAAGCAAGAAACAAAGATTGAAAAAAAGAAAAATGATATAAAGAAAGAAAGATTGAAATAAGAAAGGTGAATGAAATGAAATAATAAAAACTAACAGAATGAAGAAAGAAAGAAAGATTGAAATAAAATAAGAAAGGTGAATGAAATTAAATAATAAAAACTAACAGAATGAAGAAAGAAGGAAAGATTGAAATAAGCACCTAAATACAGAATAAAAAAAGGAAAGAAAAAAGGAAATGAAAAAAGAAAACAGAGATTAACTGTGAATGGAATTAAGTAATAAAAAATAACTGATTGAATGCAGAAAGAAAGGAAGATTGAAAGAAAATACGAAAGACATAATGAACGAAAGATCTAAATATAAAAGAAATAAACAAAACAAATTGAGAATACAGAATGAAATTAATGGATAAAAATTAACAGAATGAAGAAAAAACAAAGACGGAAAGAAAAAACGAAAGACAAAATCAACTAATGAAGAAAGAAAGAAAGATAAAGAAAAGCGGATTAAAATATAATTCATTGAATAAAAAAATAATAAAAATGAAAGAAAAATATGAAACAAAAGCCAATATGTCTTCAACGACACAAATAAAGAAAGAAATACACTAACAAACTCCGAAAGACAAACTATATGCGATAAAAATCAATATATCACCCCAAATAAAGAATATAACAAAGACTGATACAAAAAAAAAGACAGAAAGAAAAAAAAGAATATGCAATAAAAGGTTAATATGTCTTAAAGAAAGAAAGAAGAAAAACAATCTGCAGTAAACGGTTAATACATCTTAAACAAAATAAACAAAATAGGAATTCCTTTAAGACAGGGCGGACGTTGTTAAATATTTTCAAAGAAAACAGAACAGAAATGGTTTCCATTGAAGCACAGCTAGAAAACTAATGAAGAGATAAATATTATCAGCTAAGAATATGGCGAAGAAAACAAAGTAAATTATTTCCCATATGAAGGAATAAACGTCAGGTTACAGCACCTGGTATTCCCTAGTGGTCACCCATCTAGGTACTGACCAGTTTCAATGTTGCTTAACTTTGAGCTGTTGAGCACCGAAAGATAACTCGTCAAAGATACCTATTCATTGTTGATCACTAACTGATGGAGCACAACCCTGCCGAAACACCTTCTCCTGTATCTGTCTATATTTATGAGATGAGGTATTATGTACATTATTTATATTATTCGGACTATTGTCCTCATCTTTGTCACCATATTTATTACAACATTTCGGCCGTTGTACGCTCCGGCCTTCTTCAGTATCTGTCTATATTTCTGAGATGAAGTAATATGTACATTATTTACATTATTCGGGCTATAGTCCTCATCATTGTCGCCATATTTATTACAATGTTTCGGCCTTACAGTATCTGTCTATATTTCTGAGATGAGGTATTATGTACACTATTTACATTATTTATAACATTATTATTATTGTCCTCATCTTTGTTGACATATTTATCACAATGTTCCAGCCGTTGGTTGGAATATCGAACTGAACCCTTTATTTCGCTCACTGGGGTAGACTGTTCTAGTTCCACATGCCATGTCTAATGGATCTCAATTATCTGTTATCCCCTGTTAATTCCTCTCTCCAAGTTCTCCACCGCCTTAGTCAGGTATTGAACTCACACTCTTTGGGTCCTGTCACTGGATCTAACTAACGCATTTATCCATTGTACCATGTGTATTTGTTTTGAGCTATGCAATCAATAACAAGTGGACACGTGACCGAATAGTTAGGACGTTTGCATTCTGACCATGAAACTCGGGTTCGAATCTCACCATGGTCGATTTGTCAGGAAGAAGACTTCCTGAATTTATCAGCCTGCGGCACCTTTTGAAAGGTGCCTGAAAGCCATGCCACGGGTTGACCCAAGTGTTGTGAATGAAACCGGGCAAAGAGAACACTTGGGTGCCGTCGATAGCTGTGCGATCACGAAGTCATAAGTCATCGTGGCCGAATGCTTGAGCGCGCTGGCCTTGTTCAAATTTTTGATCACGCTAGATAACTCGTAACTAAGATCTAAGTTTCAGTATAAATTTCTGTGGGCGTTGAATAGACACAAATGCGCCCGAGCAAGCGTCTACAATAGGGATTGGCTAGCCGCCCTAATAGACTGGTATCGTCGAATACGAATGGCCTGCTGTATTATACAATACATATTAAACACACGCGCCAACGCCGGAAAATTATCGATCGATCAACTGAATGGTACACAGAACGTAAAAGAAAAACCCACTCCCATGACGTCTATTTTCACACATAACATTACCTCTCTTGCCCCATCGAGCCAAATAATCTTTCAAAATTTGTTAACCGTTTCTGTGTAAATAATGCGCGCGTTGTGATGTCATGGATATCGGTTTGGAATATGCAATCGGATAGCCGAGTTCGAATCCCAGTCTGGTCCGTTGCATTTTCTTACGCGCAAAAACCTTTGGAAAAAAAGTTATGAATACTCCGCTACTCTTCTCGCTGTGGGTTGAATAGCAGGAAAGACGGGATCCTATAGCCTTGTTTGGCAACCAGTCTAGAACGAAACAAACGGCAACCTACATTTCTTTATTCAGTGATGAATCAAAAGAGAGATTATCGCCCAATCGTGTATCAAGTATAGCACTTTACCCTAGAACACTAACAATCAATTAAAGTTACACCATGGGTATATCATACCCGATTTTGAAAATATATATAAATATTAAATATAAATCTTTATTTGAATTATTTTACATACAGGATTTCAAACTTTGTACTTTAAGTTAACTGAAAAACATATTATTTAGGTAAGAAAATCAAGTACTGAAAATTGTAATTAAAAATAGGAAAATTTGCGCTGGGTACTATATACCCATGGTTAGTGTTCTAGGGTTAATTGACTCACTGACTGATGGGGAATGTGATTAGGAAGATTATATTGCGCCAATATTCCAATTTCGATTTCTGGAACCTGTAGGAAATACAGACATATTTTCTTTAGGTCGATAGTCTCAAAAGCCATCTGCTAAGCCTGTGGATATGTTTTTCCATTAATTGTTTGTGAAACAGGCTTCCCTATTAACATTAGCTGAATGCGTTTCTCAAAAAAAAATTGCGACAGATTACATGCAAATAAAATATAGGCTTATCAACATTCATCTAACTACCCAGATAGACAGGGAGTGAGGTAGCTATGCAATGAGGCAAATAGGCAAAGATTGATCGAGATAGGCAGTGAAGCTGTTAGGGAGTGCGATAGATAAAAAAACTGAGAGGACGAAAGACAAAAAAACAAACAGGCAGCGAGGCAAGTAGACATTGAAATGGAGAGGTAGAGAGCGTCATATATGTAATGAGGAAGATTGCTGTAGAGACGTACCTAATGCAGGTGGGTATTTAAGCATCGAGGTAGTGAGGTAGATAGATTGAGAGTGAGATAGATATATCAGAGAGTGAAGCAGGTAGGCAAATTAACCGATAGGCAGTGAAGCAGACAGTGGGATAGATACGCAATAAGGCAGCGAGACCAACAAGCAGTGAGGTATAGAGATAGTTAGAGCATTCGCCAAATATGTAATGAAGTAAATCAGATTTGAGAGATACGCAGTTAAGCAGCTAGGCAATGAGCTAATAAAGGAGTTAGGCATTGAGTTAGTGAGGTAGGCAGAAAGTGAGATAAATATGAAATGACGCCGAGAGTCATACAGTAAAGCAGTTAGAGAGTGGGACAGGTACGCAGTAAAACAGATAGGCAGTAAGGCAATTAGGATGTTAGGCATTGAGTTGTTGATCTAGAGAGGCAGATAATGCGCTAGATATGTAAAATTCAGATAGCATGATAGATAGCCAGAGTGATTTAGGCAGTTATGTAGTCAGTGAAGGAGTGAGGAAGTTAGGCAGTATGGTAGTTAGGTAGAAAGTTAGTATGACAGTCATTTAAATAATGTATATTTTGGAAGCAATTTTTCATTTACACAAAGTGTCATAAAAGTACCGTAGGAATTTAATAATGTCATGATATGTCAGATATTTATTTATTTTTCCTAACATGGAGAAAGAACCAAAATCGTGAAATTCTATTTCAAATTTAACTAAAATTTAGATCACCGGATAATTTAGCAAAATTACGAAATTTTATGGCCACCATTTTCTTCTTATCTGAGGAACATTTTATTTAGAGATCTTTTAAGAAGTATATACACCACTGATCTTTCTGATTTCATCAGTTCCCAACTAGGGACTTATACAGACGACACAACCATTTCTTCCTGTCCAAAATTCGACACATCTGACTAAGTAAACCTGGAAACCTCTCTTGAAAAGAATGTCCAATCAGTAGTTAATTGGAGCAAGAAATGGTTTGTAAATTTGAGCGCCTCCCAAGCAAAACTGGTTTCATTTAACCATCTAAAAGAACCTTTTCTGCTTGACACCAACATAGCTGATGCTAAACTTGAGGAGAGCAACATACTTCACCTTCTTGGCTACATGTTTTACACGGGCATCAACTGGGGCGACTATAGCGAATCAATTGCTTCGTGTAATGCAAGGAAAATTGCTTCATTGTTCTGTGCCAGTTACTTCTCGTCGTCAGAATTCATCTTGCACATTTATAAATATGTAACAACCTAATTTTTAATACGATGGACAATGCACACTTTATCCTTTTTACACACACACACACACACATATATATATATATATATATATATATGTATGTGCTGAATTCTTAGCATATTGAGTACTTTGCTTAGTTATTTTACTCGTGTTGGAGTTTTTTTTTTTTTGGACTCTGAGCTTGGATTCTGGTCGATTATTTTCGCCAAAATTACATGTTCCCAGTTCTTTCTTTTTTTATTTGTTTTTTCCCTTGAGTATTGGTTTGTTCATTTACAAGCCAATACAACTAAGGTTTTTCCGGACAAGGATACTTACTTATATTTATAAGATTCTTATATATATATATATATATATATATATGTGTATATATATATATATATATATATATATATATATATATATATATATATGCATGTGTGTGTAGTGTCCGCAAAAGAGATATATACACACTTCAGGAAAAGGCTTGAATTAATCTGATAAGTCTTTCATTGTTTTACTTAAAGGGTGTTGCGTGTTGCAGAAAACCGACTACATTAGCGGTCCTTAGATAGATACATACGAGAGAGAGAGAGAGAGAGAATAAGATAGATAGATAGATAGATAGATAGATAATCGTTTATCATACATACGGATATATTGCAGCCTAAAATGCAATATATCAACAGAGACAGACATATAAATTTCGGTGTCATATCTAATATTAACTCGTATTTCTGATTATTTATTTATTCACGTTTGATTCATCCAGTTTTCCACATGTGTTTCGCTTATAGGCAGAAATATTGAATGCATGGAAATTTGTACATACGTAATTATTTTTTGGCCAATGAGAAGAGTTTAATGTTGCGCAGCCGTCAAGAAACAAAGTTAAAATATAGATTGTCCTCGAGGTGGTTATCTGGTTTGTTGAAAAGTTGTGCAGAATAAGAATTCTACATCTGTCATTAATCCTTTTAGGCGATTCTTGTTAATCTAAATAAAATAATCCAGAATCATTACTTTTATCTTACGTCGTGAGTATGACGATAAACTACATCCGCGTCCTGGATAAGAATTTAAACTACGTTCAGCAGCAAGGCCTCTGATCAGGAGGTTTTGAGGAGCGTAGAACCACCTCTTAATTGCCGGTGTTCCCAGGTCCATCCTGACCAGGGGTGGTAGCACATGTTAGGGTCACAACTACGGGCAAATAGTTAACACCCAAACTTTTGTAAAAATAGGTTTTAATACCAGAAATACTTTGTAATAAAAAAATTATTACCAGCAATAATTTTTGAAGGATAAATTATTATCAGCAATACTATTTAAAAAAAATAGTAGCAATACAGTTATACATTCTTTGAAAAAAAAATATGACCAGCTATAGATTTCTTCAAGGAAAAATATTCCCAAAAATATATTTTTGAAGAAAAACCATATTACCAACAATAAAAATTTTGTGGGCATTAAATAGCCAATTGAGGTTGATATGCCAATAAAACAAAAATCAAACCATGCGAAATTACTTTTAGCTTAAGAAAAATTACATTAAAAAATAACGTTCCGTTTTCAAAATTTTTAATATATTTAGAAACGTATTTTGAATATTAAAGGCAGATACCATCTCCCCATGAGGCAAATTGGTCAATCAGTTGAGATTCCAAGTATTTGGCGTTTTTCATGTGTGCTTTACACAGTTAATGGTTGTTTATATATATATATATATATATATATATATATATATATATATATATATATATATATATATATATATATATTGTCATCATCTCTTGACAAGTTGCCAACCAAACGTAAAAGACAAGTCTTCCCTGCTTTTTAAGGTATAGCTGGAGGAAGTGGATTCCTAACTTCCCTACGTAGTGAGTATGTGTGCGCAAGTGAACGTAACGTCCTCAGACTTAATTCGAACTCGGCTCATCAACTTCTCTTCCTGATCCGCCAACCGCTACACTTCTTACACGTCTATCATTACTGAACGATCAGCTACTGTGCGAGTCAATTCAGACAGAACACTGATAACAGATATAAAAACAATTGTCGCTTTTCAATTTAATCTATTTTTTTTTCAAAGTGAAATTTGGTCAGTGAATACAAATCAATTGAACAAAAAATATAATATTGCTAAGCAAATGTACACTGTTATAGGTTTATAAAATCCCCAATAACCACCAAATTAAAAAAATAGCAGTAACACTCTCTTACAGTCATATCACGTTGAAATACAGGATTTCGTATGATCACCCAAGGTAAGCAAAGTTTACCCTGGTCAGTACCTTGGTGTTTAATCGTTGTTAATTCCAGATTCTGTAAGCGTAGATGTGCCGGTGGTGTAATAGATAACATTTCAGAATTCGAACTCGGTTCGCCAAGTTCGAATTTCAGCCGAGATCGTTGCATTCACTTACATACAAATACCTCTGCGAAAGGTATGAATCCACTTCATCTCCCAACTATGGGTTAAATAGTAAGACTTGTATCAGAAAGGCATTATTATCCCCCAAAACATCTTAAAATCAAGAAATAGGCTTCGGCTTTAAATAGGGTGATAAGCCGTATAAATTGAATCAACCAATCAACCAGTGACACTTCCGAGAACTTCCATTTGCCGTTAGCAGAACAAACTGGGTCCTATAGCCTTGGATGGCAACTGCTCTAGAAGAAGAAAAACATTGAATTTAAAACCTGAGTGACTGAGTGGTCGGCGACTAAACCGGCTTCTTCATCTGACCTTGGTCTGGTGAGAAGGGTAATTTGAAACGCCATCCGTACAAAAAATGTTAGAGTGGATGGACTTCTAACTGTCAGTTGTCATCCACGCCAAACTATGCAATTGCCCAAGCGTAGTGAGTACGGCTACACCCCTAAAGACATGGTCAGTCAGAGAGGCGTTTCTACAATAGGAGGGATAAGCTCCTGGATTTAAATTTGGATTGTCTTTCTCCTCACTAAAATCTTCTCGTTTTCTTCCATTTCCAATAACCGCTTGAGTCTTAGGGGCGTTATCACCTTACTTGAAATGAAATGATTTAAAATAATATATCAATATCCCGTAATTGAATAGTTACTGTGGAGATTACTTAATTAAATTATTAATTTTTTGCTATTCGAAAAGCATACAAATAATTTCAGGCATGTACACAGGTGTCGTTTATACCTCGAGGTGTTTTTTTATGATTACAAAGAAATAGATCAGTTACGACTGAGTTGTGAGTTCGATCCTCATTGGGTGCCTCCATACTTTCGGCCTTGTGCCACATCTAAGCTGAGCTTAGAAAATCACATAGAAACAGGTGTTGTTTATTTATGCGTGATAATGTTTTCGTGAGAATTCGTCTATCACGCAGACATAGCGGGCTTATCCGTGGACTGATGGTTAGCAAACTTATCTTGCTAGATCAGTAAAGTAAAAAAAAAAGTAGTGAGTTTGATTCTCCGCCTGCTCCATACTTCCGGCCATGTGACACATTTAAGCTACGTTTAGTAATATGTATCATCTTGAATGAATAGATATATATTTTTTTAATTTTGCTTCTTGTGAAATACTGAATATAAATTTTGAAAAAAAAAACACATTTTCTTTTTTCTTTCACAACGTAAACGATTTGATATTGAGATATTTCACTGAAGACGTATTTTATTTCAATAAACGACCCATTGATCTGTATTTTTCCAGATTACGATATTACATACAGGCATAGAAATGACGTGAACAAAGCCACATCGAATCCCTTGTCATGATTTGATTATTGATTTTCTTGGGATTAGAAAAGTAGATACACGTTTTCAGCATTGTTCAGACGCACACAAAAGCGTTGTTTATTTGTCAGTGAAAAGGTTTTCCGACAAAATTCGTCTGTCATCCTAAAGTACTCACCTTGTTGGATAAATGATGAGCGAAGACACGTTTTCGTTAATGTCTCGAACAGATTTTATTTTTTTTTTTTTTTGTCATAGAAAATTGGTTACGTGCCGGCGTGCTTTTCTGATATTTTAAAGCAGAATATGTCGGCTTTTCGAGGCGTGGAAAAAAAGTCCTATTGGAAACAATATAATTACTGATGCATAAAAGATAGTATCGAATCGTTTGTACTTGGGGAAAAGCCCAACGAAATGTGACGTTCTTACTTAGGTTCTAACAAAATAGAAAATCAAAATAGAAAATAAGTCCAAAAATCGATCTAACTAGAAAAACATTTTTTCTTTCATAACATAAACGATTTTATATTAGCATTTTTTTTATCATTTTACCCCAAGCAAGTCGATAATGCCATTAAGAAGAGAAGGGTTCCTGGGAGCGAACGAGAATGAGAAGACATTATCGAGGAAAAAGGACAATAAAAGAACAAATTTCAGCCAGAAAGGATATTGCGATTGGTGTAGCATTTAAATTTTTGAGTATTGTAAATGCCGAGAAAGCAAGACACTTCAAGAGAGTTCCATAGACGAGATTTCGTTAAAGATATATTTTATTTTTCCAGATTATAATATTAAATAGATGTATGCGTTTAGCGTACGGATGTGCAGATATCATCTAAGAAATATGAAATCGCAGAGCCGAATTTGAATTCCAGTCCTGCTCTTTGCATTCACTTACGAGCAAATACACTTGGGAAAAGTATAAATCCATCTTTTCTCAACCCAGATATGGATTAAATAATAATACTTATATCTGGAAAAACCACGTTATTATACAAAACAAAAATTGTGAATGTAATGTTCACTCACAAAAAATATTAATCTTACTATCCAAAATACGTTTCTTCTGTAAATAACACACAAAGGTTTGATAAACCGCAAAGAATACAAAGAGGCGTAATGGACACAATTGTGCAGCTAGAATTCCTAAAAATAAATTCTATTAGAATTGATTTACAAGGTATGTTGAATTTTTAATTGCATTTTTCCAATTTGATTTTCAACTTGTTTCACACCCAAAACGAATATATATATATATATATATATATATATATATATATATATATATATATATGAAGAAATATAGTCTTACGGTCTGCTATATTTATGGATAAAGTGCTCGATATCAGAAATAGAGCGTGTGTAAATATAAAAGTGAACATAGATGCATTGTCAGGCGACAGTCTGAATGCTAGATGCATTCGAAACAGACTGTCGCCTCTAATGTTGACTTTATGTTGACTTTATATTATATATATATATATATATATATATATATATATATATATATATATATATATAAAGAAAGAACAGTAAGATATATAATCCGGTGTTCTTATAGATATTTTTATTTTTGCAAAATAGTGCTCAATGTAAATTTACAGAGCATTAATATTATAAATTGATTTATTTAAAATATGGTTTTTTTTTTCGCTACACAGTTCTAACCCTGTTTCAAAAATGGAAGCTAAAAGCTAAATGTAGTGGTTAAAGCGTTCCCTTTCTAACCATGAGACCCGGGTTCGAATATCACAATGGTCGATTTGTCAGGAAGTCTCCTGATGTTATCGGCCTGGAAGGGGACGATCAAAGTGTGCGGCACCTTGGTAAAGTGCCTGAAAACCATAACACGGTTTGACCGAAAACCATAACTCGTGACCGAGGGTTGGTGTGTGCTGGCGTTGTTCAGTGCGTTGGCCACGCTACATAACACGATCTCACCTAGAAACTAAGGTCTGCTAAGTTATGCAGCATAAAGC